TGTTGCCATAAAATATGGGAGGAGGGAGAGAGAGGGCATGGATTCCTTCACTTTTTTGCTCTCTTTCCTTTTTATTTTGTGGGTTTTGTGTTTTTATTTTTATGAAAAGCACGGCATATGAGCTTTTAGTGCGGGCTGGTGGAGAGAGTATTGTTTTAGCTTTCTAAGCGTGGATGTTTTTGTTGGAGAATCCACAACCAAATGGCTCCATGGTCTCATGTCCCACGCTCCCCCACCAAATTCAAATACATGTTAATTAACTTTAATCACAATGGTCTCTCCTAAAGAAACTCTCTCTCCCTCTCTTTCCTATAAATTTAATTATATAAAATTCCGGTCAATTGCAATGCGATACGTTTCACGTCTCCAATCGTCGGATATCCGGCCCTATCAACTCTTCCTTTTTAAAATTTCAATAGAAGGTTGTAATATGTAGTACTGTCTATCTTATCAAACAATCCAAAATGTTGTATAAGTTAATGTCATATATTTGGAAGCTATTAGGCACTTCAAAAAAAATCATTATGTACCCATCTTTTGTAAAAACGAATGGGAAAAATTACCCGTCTCTCCCCTTATAAAAGAATAACAACTTCTTTGAAGTGCATGATAATTTTTTCGAAGTGTCAATAACAATTCCGATGTCTTCAAATAAATTTTGTTGAGAATTGCTCTCGTTTAATGCATATAGAGAAAAAGGTAGTAATTTAATATAAAAATATTGAAACATGAACATAAAACATTTCAAGATCAAATAAAATGTCCCAATCAATGCTTACAGTTGATTTAATAAAAAAATATGCATCTATCATGCTTGACCGAAGTTGTCCATTGCTTTCACCATGACTATGAATGAGCTTGTGCCATATATGATTTGAAGGCAAGTTAAACCTAAAAGCATATGCATATGATTATTTGTTGAAACAAATCATTTATGTCAATCATAAAACCATGTACACCAACATACATCTTTACATTCTTAACTTAAGAACATATATACTTGATTAGACTGTTAAATCAAGACTATAGATTTAAACACATTTTTGGTCCCTATAAGCTTGGATTATTTCGTTTTAATTAATTTGTTTCATGTATCATAATCCGTTAACATTATTGATCCTTTAATTTGTGCATGGGACATGCGCATCGGCTCCCTCAGTTAAGAACATTAACATCCAATTAGACAGAAACGACCTAAAATTCCCGACGAATTAAAAAGATTATGACAAAATTAGCTCGAAAAACTATATACGAATTTAACTAGTTGATCAGATCAGTGTGCCGGACATTTTCACACAAATTCAATTCCCCCTCCTACCTAAATTTGAAGCAAAGCTCATTAGCCCCATACCAATAATGTATTGTTTTTAGAAAGATAACAGAAAACCTGCCGGACATCCACAGAAAATGGAGGGTCCACTAGCTGTGATTAGTACTCAGCTCAAATGCGTTACACAGAATCATCCATTCCTTTCTCTTCTTGGTGGGTAAGCTGCTAAGCTTGAACTTTAAAAACAAAACAAAAAGAATTAAAAAAAAATTCGTGCTACAAAAGGACTTTAGTCAAGTGGTCAATCCACAACCACCATTCAACAAATTTATTCTTGAAAGATCATAAAGTATACAATTCTCTGATATTCAAAGTGGCTATGATGATTAAATAACACATAAGACGTGCGGAGGAAAGCAATTTTTCTTTTTCTTTTTTTTATTTATATAAAAAAAACACTTGTTTTTCAGATGAACATTGAACAAGGAATCCTTGCTTTTATTTAGGGTTTGCTTTACATCTCATTTTGTAGTTTGTACAAGGGAGAGTGTTTCAGTGCCACCAAAAGGGTCGACCCAATGAGATTGGGAGGGGAGGAAGAAACTTGATTGGGCGTGGCCATTGTTCCCTCCACTCCAAACAAGAGGGCATGAAAGTATGTATATTATTGCCAATTAAATAAACCCTAAATACATTTATAATTACGTCCTTTAGATCTTCTTATCTGTGCCTTAAGATCTCTTTCAGCTGATCAAATCATGGGTCTACCTTTTTATTATTATTATTTTTAACCACAGTGGGCACTAACCACTGGGGTTTAGGTTCTTCTTGTTCCACTTCTTTTTCTTCCAACTTTTTTTAATGCAGGCCCCTGTCTGTTTGGTCTCGTTGTTTAAAGTCTGTCACGTATCAAATTAGAATCCTATGATAATTTTTGCAGTTTATTAAATAAGGGAATTTTTTGGATTTTTAAAAAAATAATAATAATTATTCTTCACTTGTCTGCCTATGTCGAACCATTTATCTTATTATTAATGTAAGTTATATTTTAAAATTATTACTATACTAGTCCCTTTTGGTTTTTTAGTTTTGTGTTTTTACTCAAGAATTAAGAAAGAGCATCTAACTAAAAAGAAAAAGAAAAAGAGAAGTTGTGTCCCATGAAATTAGCGATTGTTGAATTTGAGAAGTGTTAAAATCTCAATTGTTGTAAGAAGGAACTCCTCCTCATTTTTAAGGAGTCAGTCTCCAGTATCATTTTTTGAAGAAAAAAGTTTCGTAGTAATCTTGGAGATGCTCTTAACACAATAACATATAAAAAAGAAAGTGTAAAACATTACTTTGGACGTACAATTGAATGTTGTCTTCATGAGGATAACAACAAAACTACTTGGCAACAATTTCGTTTTTAGTTTTTAATTTTTACTTTCAGCAAAATGAAAGATGAAATGCTTGGAAGAAAAGATTGATACAAAGAAAGGAAGAGGACCGAGGAGAGGGGGAGAGACACAAAATGTTCATGGAATGGTAAAAATATCTTTACAGAATGTGATCTAGGTCACTTTAGTGTAATGGAAAAGGCTTGGCTACTTAATATTTAAGGAGTCAAGTTTCAGTATCATTTTTTGATGAAAATAGTTTCATAGTACTCTTGGAGATGCTCTTGACACAGTAACATATAAAAAAAAAGTGTACAAAATTACTTTGGACGTGCAATTGAATGTCGTCTTCGGTAGGATAACAACAAAACTATACATCTTTTGAAGCAAAAACCTAAAATGATCCTAATTTTAATTTATCGAAAGAAATACATGCTTTGAGTAAATAAATGTGAACCATGTTGTAAATCATAGGGTGATTAAGCTTAATCAAATGCTCCCGACTCTTAACTCTTGGTTTGGGCCAACCAATTGATGGCTACTTTGATGGTTGAGGCACATCCATATATTACATCAATGAAAAGTATTATTGTACTCTATATGTGGCTGGGTCTAGACCTATTGGCCTTTTAACCCCCCTCTAACCCTAACCCTAACCCTAAAATAGGACATTGATGGATAAATAGTAGCAAAAAGAAGAGATGCAACATGTCAGGTGGAATGTGAGTCTTGGATATCACATTACCCAATCCAGATCAGTGGGACCCCCATAAATGTATCTATAATTCATGTGTTTGAATGGTCAAGCTCCAAATTATTGGTGTTCATGTAAAACATTGGATGCCATCCTTTTTTTAATTATTATTTTTATCTTTATAATCTGTATATACATTTGCCCTAATTTGCCTTTCCTTCTTCTTCCACCATCCCTTTTGCCCTGCCTTGCATCATTTCTCGGTTTGTGGCATACTGAAAAGTGAGAGCACCTAATATGTTTCCATTCATGTTACCACCTTAAGTGGTTCTCATGATATCAAGATAAAGGATGATATTCAACTCAAGTTTATCAGTTATAAGGGCGAAAATGTAACAACTTTTATGTATACAAGTTATGCATGAACTGTTGATAGTCGTTAATGTATGAAATCTCAAAGTAACTACTCTTTTGAAAAAAATATATATAATAGGGAGAAGTTTCATAATTAATATTGAAAGAGTAAAATCGTGACTATACCCATTTGAAAATATGACAAATTTGCGACAAGGTTGTTAATTCTATTCTCACTAACAATTAATTTGTCTCTGTGCAATGCGTAATTGCTTTGAAAACAATGAAATATAAGTTTTTGGTTGCACAATGACAAACTGTGGTTGTAACTTGTAAATAACAACTTCGTAACGTGTTTTTTTTTCTTCCATAAAAAATGTTAATACGCGGAATAAAGTTTAGAGAATAATTTGAGTTGAATTGAAAGTTAGAGAACAAGTCAATGGGTTCCCACCACAGTGGTGGTGGATTCCCCCTTCCCCATGGCACCCAGAATTGAACCTCAGTAGGATTTCTTTCCTTCAATGTAAACAAAAAACGTTAGAGAATGAAGTGACAAACATGACAAATTTGATGAGGTTTGTTAAAGTTTATTATTGATCAATTATCATAAATAAGGTAAGTTGACCAAGGTAGTGTTGCATCTCAATTCAATCCCCCTTTTTGTACATTAAAATAGTTTGAATATTGCATTGTGGAAAAAACATAAACCATTAATTTGTCATTATGAAATAGGTTCTGAATGCAAATTTTGAAAAGAAACAAGTAAAATCATACCGAGCGAGTTCTAATTTCCTACTTTCGGTGGTAGGACTATAAGTAGAATTCAATTCAAGACCTCCATTTCCCGAATAAGAAAAAAGGTCAATGTTATACCAAAAATAGCAAGTATTATAAAACCTAATGCTTACCAAAATGATAATGAGAAGGGCAAATACGCGATCATTCTAAATGATACTAGAAGGGTATTTTAGGAATTTTAAAGATAGAAAATGATGAGATGCACGAAGAAGAGAAAAAGACACGTGTGCAGTACAGCAGAAGCGTCCCAACTCTGAGACGGAAGAAGCCAACCAGAGTTAAGGCCGTGTTTGGTTCGAACCCAACAACGTGGTTAATAGGGCCGTTGACTATTTGACCTGACTCAAACGCTAACGCCAGGTGAGGGTGATGATAAAACCACCCACGGTCACGGGGCCACCCCAACACTCTTTATCTATCTTTTGTCGCAAAAAAATAAAAAAACAAAACAAAACAAAAAGGAAATTGATACCCCCCAACCAGGGACATTTCGGTAAAATTCATTTCTATATAATCTCAGCCTCCGTGCTCTCCCCACGGTTAGTTTTTGACTGTATTTGTATTCTCTACTCTCTCTCCTCTCTCACACCCACTTTCCTCTGCTTCTTCTGAAAGCTTCCTGAGTTCTGTAATTCGATCTTGCTCTCTCACGCACGGCTTAACCAATCTTGTTCTCGAATTGGGTTTTCGTACACTGTAAGTTTTCTCTTCAATCTCGTAACTTTTAATGGCGGAATGGTCGATTTGTTCATATTTTTTTGGATCTTGACTCTCAGTTCGGTTCGCCGGAAAACGAAAAGGGAATTTTTTGTTGTTAAGAAAACACAAACATTTTGATAAAAATTGAGTTTTGAGCAGGCAAAGCTTGCCTCAGCACAAAACCAATTGAAATAGCTAGAGAACGGTGCCTGATAGACTGATTTTCCATTGCAGGGGATAGAGGAAGAAGTGGTAGAGATCGGTAAATTAGCTTTTGGGTAAGACCAGAACAGCATGCGGTGGTGTCTGAGTCTCTCTGTTGATGTTTTTCGCAAAGTCATCTCTTTGAACCTTTACTGTAGAGTTATTCTGTAATTGTTCTTTTTTACTGAGCTGTGAGCGTTTAATAAAAATCCTTCAATTTTCTTAGTCTTTCTTACCTGATATTTTCCATGGGATCCACTTTCTTCATCGTCGTTCCTTGTTATGTTCGTCAGATTAGTTGAATCAGAAAAATCCGAAACCTTTTGCTGAAGTTCTGTTTCAGTCCATATTCATTTTCTTGTAGTTGGTTAACTTTAGCTTTACATCATCAACCCTTTTTATATATTCTCTCTTTCGTTCTCGTTCATCAACCAACCCTGCTTGTTTTGCTGGTTCAGTCTCTCTTTCTTGTCAATTAGTCTGCTCAATCTAGTTTTGGGTTTTACTGTGTGGTGGAATTGTTGTTGTTTGGAAGACTGTTCTCATTCCCAAAATATTCAAGTGCCGGGAAGTTGTTTAGTTATGGTGTGCCAAGCAGCGAGCCAAACAAGATTTCGGGCATTGAAACATGAAAATGGGATTGATGGGAGCGCCACCATAATTGTTAGAGTTATAGCATGCTTTCAACCTCTCCAGGATTGCCAGGTTAGTCAAGGATAATTTAATACTTGTTGCCAGTACGTTTAAGAGAGAAGAATCAGATTCTCCTGTTTCATGTTTCGAATTTACCTGTTCATTTTCTGTAGATTCCTTTTTCTTTTTTCATTCTTGGCAGTGGTTGATGATGGCTAATATAATTATTGGGTATTTTTCAGGCTGAATACTTTCGTCATTTGCTGAAACCTGTAACGTAGGAAGATTCTGTGCTTTTGTGTTCAAGTTTAAGCTGGAGTTTTTAGTTTATTTCATTGTTGCTGAAAGAGAGACATAAATCAGCTGTTTCTAGTTGTACATACGTCCTTCTGGTATGTTTTATATTGTCCATTTGATACATCATTATTTATTGTTCTTGGCTTTTTTTCTTCTTAGTTTCTAATTTTTTTAATTTAATTTTTAGTTATTTGTTTTAGTTGGATGGGTGAAGATTTTGGAACGTGGATTCCTCAGCTGCACCTTGGCTGGCAACCTCCCGATCCAAATTCCTTCGGTGCTCCACTTGGCTTGGAGCAACAAAACTTCATTTCTGCATATGGTAACCCTGGCACTAATATGCCTGTGCCAAATGGTGCTTCGCCAGCATATGCATCTCCAGAGTTGCCGCATCCACAAATTGGCAGACCAAATGAACCTCACGGTTGGTTCTATTGCTTACCCCGTATCAGACAGGCCTTTGTGCCTGCTGCACACTCTGTTCTCAGAGAGAAACTTTCTGCTTGCCGTTATGAAGTTCCGGGGGACACATTGGTACCCAATGCAGACTCTGTCTGTGAACAGAAGAGACTCCTTGTTAACAACTCGTCAGGGGATCAAACAACTTTTGTCTTTGGTTCTGGGATTGTGAATCCTTTGCTGTGCCGTACTTCTTGGAATCCAAACGAACAAGGGGCTTATTATTTGAACGGGGATGATCCTCAAACTGGAAGAGATTTGAAAAATCTATCAGGAGCAAATTTGACTGATGAGCTGAAAGGAAACGGTGAAAGTGGTGCTCAGAGTGAGATGCATGAAGACACAGAAGAACTGAATGCCTTGCTCTACTCAGATGGCGATAGTGATTATACCGAAGAGGACGATGAAGTTACTAGCACAGGTCATTCCCCTAGTACAATGACAGTTCATGATAAGAAAAATTGGTTTGAAGTAAGGACCGAAGAAGTTGCTAGTTCTGCTGGAGTGACCAAAAAACGGGAGCTATTTGATGGAGGTTATGGTGAGGTACCATCCATAATGGACACTGCGAGTTCCATGAAACCCAACCGATCGTTGGAGTTAGAGGATGATGCAGAGTCGAGTTGTGCCTGCAACCGAAGTTCTGGGTTCAGAGAAGTGGATTCTTTATCCAGCAACAAGAAAATGAGAAAGGAAAAAATACGCGAAACTGTGAACATTCTGCAGAACATAATTCCCGGCGGCAAGGGGAAGGATGCAATGGTGGTGCTTGACGAAGCAATCCACTATTTAAAGTCATTGAAGCTCAAAGCCAAAGCTTTTGGACTTGATTCTCTCTGAGTTCGGATATGTCCGTTCCAGCATTGTTTCTAGTGGGCACTTTACTCTTTGTTATTCTCAAGTATTGTTGATTAGTAATTGTTAAACGTGATTATGGAAAATAAGTCCGGTGTACATGAGTTGTTTGTGGATATGGTCTGACATAAGAGGTTCCAGCTAAGGTGTGGTTAAATTTGTAGCAGCAAGTGGAGAGGAAGAAAAGCTTGAACCCCTCTTGAAGAGTATTTCTTCAATGATTGGAGTGGGAAATCAGCAGAGAGTATTGGTTTTGTGATATTTTCTCTCAGAACCAAGGGAAGAAGAAAAGAGAGTGCTTTACATTATGTCCCAATAAAGGAAGGTGAATGATTTCTCTTAGGTTTAAGAGAAAGTGACATCCAAACCTGGGCATGGGGTGGATGGATTGAAAGACTTTGTTTATTCTCAAGAGGGGCCCCAAGAAAGAGAAGAGTGCACGCCCCTTGGGTTGTTTTTGGGTCCCAAACTTCACTTTCTTCTCACTTTTTTTGTTTACTTGTCATGTTCATCTTGTGTAGGGTTTCTCTCTTCTTTTTTACTTTATCTGATGTACAAGTTTGCACGAGCAAGAGAAGGCCTTCTCCACTTCCATCATGCAACTTGCGAAAAGGGGCCCAATTCCATCTCCAAAACCAACCATTTTATGCAAATTCAATTCAAGACAGCTATGTGAACAGAGGCAGCCAAAAAACTAATATGGAAATTTCACTGTATTGGCGCACTGTTATTTGAAGATTTTACTGTGATTATCTGTAGGGTTTTGGTTGATGTAAATTTATGTTGGTTGGTGTTATTTGTTGTCCTGATGTATATGTACTTACGTCGCATGCACGCATTTATGATATGAGATAGCGATGTGTTTGTGTGGGATTCCTTTTGGGTTTTGTTTTGTTCAAATTATGTTGTTGCAGAATTTCTTTTTAAATTGTAGATGATGGATGTGATGTGATGCTGTTTTGATGGTGAAGGGACCACTGAGTTTTGCATTATTAGTGAGAGGAAAATATATGTGCATGAGGGGCACGGGTGCGGGTGGGAGGAATAATGTAAAATAACCCTATGATGTAACACATGTTTAATATCAATAATCATCTGCACAAAATTTATTGGCAGATAAATCACAAGTGAAATTTCTTATTTGATGTCAAATAAAAAAAATTTAAGTGGTGAAGGTTGCATGAATAGATAATCACACTCGGACTCATTTACTTCATTGGTAGACTGCCGAAGTGTTTACAACGTCCATTGAAACGTCCACCGGAGGAGTGACGTGGCTAACAAGAAATTGCGCTCTCTCTCTCTTTCAGTGAAAGATGACAGTTTGTCTGTTCTTTGTTTTGAAAATACTTGAGAGCCAAGAAATTAGCGTAGATGAAGTAAGTGATGAGATTGGGAATGTGAGCATATCTCGGTATAAGGAACAAATAGAGCAGAAAAACCCCAAAGAAGTACAAAACTCCATTGTTTGGTAGTGTGTTGCAACAGTATGGAGAAAGTGTGTACATAAGATGGGTCAATAAGAAATCATTTCCCTCAAACCACATGCCAACCTGTATGGCATCATCCGACTTGTGTGATCGGTGAAGATATTTTATCTTAAGCCACAAAAATCCAATGTATAAATGTTTTCCAGATTATGTGCCCTGGTGATATATACTCTCAATATGTTCGCCACGATGATTAGTACATGTGTAATTATATGTAAATTTGATAAATAAAGTATATGAACTATAGTTTTCTCCAATATCTCAAACTTAATAAAGCTCATTCGTCATTTTTGATTGACTCATATGCCTATATCAATGTAGTATCCTGCAATTATACGATGTTTATTATCATGCAAATATGATTACAAAAAAAAATTTATGTTGCATGATATATCAGTATCACTAATATTTGCTGATGATAATCCAGGCTTTATAAAGACCCATATAAACTCTTCAAATATTTTTCACGAGTTTTTCGTGTGCATGTTTGAGCCCTCGCCAAACATCTGGGCTTCTTATTGTGCAGCGCGAAAGAAAGCCCCAAAAGTATCAAATGTTAAGCCCAAACATGGTAAAATTCTAGCTCTACAGTGCTGGCCCAAGCCTCGTTGTTTGGTCCATAAAACAGAACTTTTAGAAAACGACATACCGCTGGCCCACTTAGAGGTAACAAACAATTCATGACGATATAGTGGGTCCCGCATGCAGAACGTGACTCAAGCTCCAAGTTTCAACCATATCAATCACCGCCAAAGAAAGAAGATCAACGGCGCCTGAACACAACGCAAACGTATCACAGCCGTCGAGCTTACTAGAAGGTGGAAAGTGCGCGCTCCCAGACGACACGATCACACTATAATTTTCTACACAAATAATAAAAATGAAATAAATCGTGACTGCGTCCGTGTGTAAAATATAAATTAGAAACTGTAAAATAAATAAAATTAAATCAAACAATTTTCAGGAAAAAGCCGAGTATTCGTGTTCCTTAAAAAATTGGACAAATTGAGTAAAAAGCTGTGGAAGAAGAATCGAGAAGCGCTTCTTCTGCAAGTAGCTGACTGAGATTATCGGACCCTACACGATCGCGTTTCGGTTTCGGCTTTTTTCTCTCATCAATGGAGGGTGTGCCTTTTCACGACGGTAACATCCACGACTTGATTGAGAGCCGATACGTCGACGTTCGCAACGTATATTTCCTCTCTCTCTCTCTCTCTCTCTCTCTTGTTCGCGTTTGGAATTGTGGTTGCTTAAGCTTTCGCAATTCGCTTGTGTGTTTTGTTTGTGATGCGATGAATAATTTTTGGTGCGTGTAGAATGGCAATCACAGCTTGCAGATGCACTCGTCGTTGGTTCGAAGGCTTTCTCAGGAAAGAGAATTGGAGGTTGGCATCAATTTTGTTTATTTATGCCATGCTATTGCTATGCACCATTTCATTTCGCTTCCAGCTAATATTATTCTGCCAAAGACAAACTTTTTCAGTAAATGTGAATTTTTGTGTGAAGTGGAGAATATGGTAATTTAAGGCAATTGAAATGTGTTGATGGTAAGTATTCACAGAATGTTGTAATCTTTTACTAGTAATTCTCATTGTTACCACCAAATACACGAATGATGTAATTTTATTGCCTATAGGCAGAGTTGAGAGTTCGGTCAGTCGTGTGTACTTAGTTTTGCAGAGTTCGGTCAGTCATTGTTACCACCAAATACACGAATGATATATATATATATATATATATAAATTGGGTTGAAGAACTTAATTTAAAAATTAGGAGTATTCACAGCTTTGATGCTATAAAAGACAGGAGCACATTCTCTGTGTTATGGGTTCCAGAAAGTAATGTATAGAGATGTAAAGCTGTTATAAAGTTTTCACACCAATGCCTCATAGGTCCTGTCATGGCTCAGCCACTATAGAATGACACACACGATATATGGTGCTTTTTCGGCCTGGATTTATAAATTACTTATGGATTTAGCTTAGACCATCCATTTCTGTTGTTGTCTTGAGGGCCTAGATTTTTAGCCTATAATGTTTAGGAACTATTTGTTAGTTTATGGCTGAAAAAGGAAACTGTGATTGGGTTGAACCTGTATTTGTGTTTGTTGAGCAATTTTTTGGTTGGTAATTGCTATTTCCTTGCAGTTGGCTAAACATAAAGAAGCTCTAGACTTTGCTAAAGCAGCCCAATATTTGGCTCCATCAAATTCTGAAGTAGCAGAACGATTGGAGCATGTAAAAAGGGATCTTGCTGCAGGTTTGTGACTTTCAGTGTCTTGGTACATTCCTTCGTTCCCCAGATAGATTTTCAATTGATCAGCCTCTAATAGCTGTCCCGAAAGTTGATTATGTTTCGCCTTTTTATCCATTACTGTAGTACTGGTTTGACCTTTATAAGTAGGATAGAACTAAAACGTTTTGCCTTTATAAGTTGATTATGTTTCGCCTTTTTATCCACTACAGTAGTACATTCTTTCCATTGTTGCTGTCTTTTTAAATAACTAGGGTAGCATACTGGAGTGTCAATTGTATTTCTTAATAAGTCATTATATTTATGATATCTTTATATTAATTCTTTGTCACAAGATTCTAACTCTGTAGTTTCATGCTTCACAAGATCGGAGGGTAATAGTGATGCTTCACAAGATGGTCCAAGATCTGAGAGAGAAGATTCTGATTATGATGAGGAAGTGGAGGTTGACTTTGAAACATCGATATCAGGTGATGAAGAGCATGACGTCGAGCCCAATATACTACAAGGAAGTTTAAACCTGAGAATTCATCGAAGAAGTGATTCTGCTAGAGAAGTTGGTGGTTCAAACGGCTCATGTGGATCCCCTTCTTCGTCATCTCAAAATGAAAGGCTGCTATATCAGGTTGCTTTCATTCTTATGATGTAAAGTTCTGGTGCTTTCAAAGTGATAACATGTAGTGTTGCCTTTTAGTCACCTTTGGACATGCCTGAATGTATATGCAATTGTGCTAATTTTTTCTTTAAGCCTCATTTTAGGTATTGATTTTTTTGATTATCAATATTTACATAATAAATTAGTAATAAAATATCAATATATTGATGAGAGTATTGAATTCAAACTTGATGCACAACACAACAGGCTTGTATTTATTAGAAGTTCCTTGGAGAAGATGGTGAGTATTTTTGTATATGATGAATACATTTCTGTCAACCACAGTATGATATGCGCACATAAAGTTTTCTTTCTGTCTCCTTACAGAAAAAGAGACCAGTATAACAGCACTTTTTAAAATGGATGATATGAATTTCAGTGGTTTGCTTTTATTCAGGCAAGAAAATTCTCATTCAGTCTTTATGAAATGTGGAGAATAGGCGGTTGAACAAAAACAAAGAGAACCCTAAAGGCATCATCATCCGTCCGGCCATGATCCGATATGGCAGAAGCTCGACATGCGAGATCAATGACACCATTGCAGTCAAGCATAAGGGGCATTAGAAGTGAACATCACAGGTCCCGGGAAAATGATTTCATCTTCTTCCTTTCAGGCTCCATATTTCGCCACCGATCAATGGCCGTATAGAAAAGCTATTTGATAAACCCTAAAAATGATTAGCAGCGATGCACATTATGATTGACAAGTCACAATTACTCTTACTCTCCTGCAGAAGTTGTGATCATCAACCCTGTAGTGTGTTCTTACAAGCAAAGCTTCTAAATTGCGTTCAAGCACAAAACCTAAAAGTATAAAGTTAGAGAAAGACAAGAAGATCAAGCATAAAAATGAAGCATCCACGTCCATAAACATGGACTAGTATCACAGGTAATTTATGAAACAACAAATAAATTAAAAGCTTGCATGCATCCATAGCCATAATGCATAGTATTAGCATACAAAACCCCAACTCTCAACGTTTAAAAGGTCCAAAACTTAAGCCTCTAAATATAAATTCAAACAATAAAAAACTAGGTTTAATGAGGGGAAAATTTAACTGACAACAGAAACCAAACAGAGAAGCTCTCTAATCAAAATGGGGAATAACTATGCTTTTTTAGGCACGAAGCCCCCTGTGTAGACTGACCATGCGAGTTGAAGTATCCTGAGATCCCCTTGCGGCTGGACCAGTTTGATAGCCAGTCCTCCCTGATCCGGCATATGCAGCATCTTGATAACGAGAGTTTTGCCCTGAGCCTCGGTACTGACCTGCTCGGTCCCTAGAATACCCACCTCCAGCATTTTGGTTGAATGATCTGCCTCCAGTGTTGTATCCGGCACGCCCACTGCCACCACCTTGCCTTCCTTGATTGAAGGACAAGTTGTTGTCCTGCCATCTCACAGAAACCAAACAGAGAAGCTCTCTAATCAAAATGGGGAATAACTACGCTTTTTTAGGCACGAAGCCCCCTGTGTAGACTGACCATGCGAGTTGAAGTATCCTGAGATCCCCTTGCGGCTGAACCAGTCTGATAGCCAGTCCTCCCTGATCCGGCATATGCAGCATCTTGATAACGAGAGTTTTGCCCTGAGCCTCGGTACTGACCTGCTCGGTCCCTAGAATACCCACCTCCAGCATTTTGGTTGAATGATCTGCCTCCAGTGTTGTATCCGGCACGCCCACTGCCACCACCTTGCCTTCCTTGATTGAAGGACAAGTTGTTGTCCTGCCATCTCCCACCCCCAGCAGCTGTTCCAGTAGCATAGTCCTGGTTGTCTCTACGCCTTTGAGGTAGATCTAACCCACCACCACCTATCCTTGCTTCTGTTGCCCTTTCATTACTTTCTGCAAGGATTGCCAGTTTCTCAGTCAACTGGAAAGCTAGCGCCTGCAACCTAGTCTGCTCAATGTCATGGAAAACGATGCAACGTGTTGGCTGGTCCCAACTTGCAAAGAGCTCTTCATTGACCATCATCTTGCTAACAATGCTATGAATCTGGGCCTCTGAAAGGTCAAACAACTTGGTGAGTTGTTCCAAGCTCAGAGTCTTATAGGATGAGGAGTAGGTGAAAAGGTAGGTCCTCAGAGCTTCTTCCTTGATCTTAGCCTTGAGCATCTCAAGAACATTCTCACGGTTCGGGAGGAGCTTCCAAACATCAAGAGAATTGATGACATCAAAGGCCTTTTGGAAGTCACCTTTGCCAAGTGCCCTGGAAGCTGCCATCACATGGTCCCTTACATTTTCTGGGGGGCCTGTGAATGTTTGCTTCTCACTCACCTCAAGCAACCTCCTGAATGTCTTACTGATCAGTCTGCGCTTTGCATCATGGATGTTAGCTGCCATGTTAGGCACTTCCAGCAGCATGGCACATATCAAATGTACTGCCTCCAGGAGCTCAGGGTTTATATGCATATGGTAAGGCATTTGTCGTCTCCTCTCCAGCCTTTCCTGAAAACAAAAAGAACAATAAAATAAAATAAAATACAGGGATGAAGGCAAAGTACACTTAAAAAACAGGAATACTGTAGAGTCTGCCAAAAAGAAACTAATTTACTCTTCTAGGTCCCCATTTTCTACAACATGGTGGCAAAACCATCCTTTATTATTAGTTTCAGCTTTTCAGAATGCGAACCATATGTTTTTTCAAACTGTTTTGCTCAACTGAACTATTTCACTGACTTGTTCTATCAAATTCAATTGGTTAGTTTCACACGAATTTTAAATATGATGCCACACTGCAATCTGAAAAATTGCAGCACCATAGGCATTTCAGATAACACACAAGGCAAAAATACCATAAAATTTATAACTCACAGAGTCAGGAAACCCAAAGAAGGTACAATGTTAGTTAAGACCACAAACATTATATCCGCATTAAGCTATAAGAACCTGCATCGTAATGATGACAGCCATGTCAGCCATAACTAGGTTGTGGAATGGGGTGGAAGATTCAAAACTTTGATTTGGCAGAACAATGCAAGCATGAAGAACCTCCATGCATTAGCTCATCATATAGTTCAAAGGTGAAATTAATTCAGCCCTATTTTGAAAACATATCGTAACTTTCCTTGGACCATTTAATCAGCCTGACCAGACCTAATGTAACACATCATCTTACACGAGTATTATGCTAGATATGTTCAGTAAAAAACTCCTCCAAAGGAGCAATAATAATGCTAAGAGGTTAAATACATCGTAAATAGTCACCAAAAAGGATACAACTTAAATGATTGGGTAATATTAGCAAGTGTCACCAGCACATTTGTCAGGAAAAGCAACTAGTTGCATACTTGGTCGAAAAACTCCTAGTTGCAACTTCCCAGATCTTATTGCAAGGTGCATATAGAAATACAGAGAATATAACATGCAGAATTAATCAGCTATTCATTGATAATAGTTTTGGGGATACCAAGATTCTTCTATCATTTTCATCACTTCTTTATTTGGTTGTTGCAAAAACCCAAACTAAACCTAAAAATCTAAAATTCTAAACTTGTGGATATTTCTTTTCACATAATCTACTTGTGCAATTTTGGTTGGGTATTTACAGGGACAAAACAGTGACTTCAGATCATATAGAGAGTAGGGATGATGCTATAGAACCCTGATCTCCCCCAACGTTTTCCCAATACTCTCACGTGGGGTTGGTCACACAATCATACGGGTCGTGCTCCCTGTAATTGAGTTTGGGTTCTAAAGCATTTTCCTAGAAAGTAATATGCGCACAAGCATATAATATAAAAATATATATAATAATAATAACCACTTGGAAAAACATAACAGAAGCACTGGCATACCTGTTCTGGAGTTTTCTCATGATATCTACTTTGTGAGACACCTTGTGCAAGCAACTCTTTTACTCTTCCGCCTGAATATAGTTCAGCAAGGCAACTATGCCCTTCAGTAATTAATCCACTACGAAATGCACACAGACCAAGTTGTGCCATGGCCCTATTATAAAGTATCTGAGTCGAAATGTCCATCTGCTGAATAACATCTTGCAGGTGACTCATTAGTAGCAAGTCACGGGCAGTGCAAAACTCATTCCGCAGAGCATGGTGGTAAATATCACAAAGCATTGCACGAACTTTAGTCCTCTCATCGCCATACTTGTATATGAGGGAAACCAAAATATCCATCGTTGTCCTGCTACTCTCTGAAAAGGTAGGTTTTCGAGGAACCAGCTCGGGAATTACAATAAATGGAGATGGACCGCGACTTTCCTCAGCCACTTTAGGCTCTTCACCATTATCGCTCTCTCCAGTCTGCTCAGACAATTTTCTCATGGCATCATAAACTTCCTGTGGCTTATAATAAATGAGTTCGACCCGCCTTAAGGCTACCTTGGCAGCAGCTTTGTAATTACCCACTCGTTCTAAATAATCTTGAACATTTTGCGCTAGACACAAAAACATAGGCTCATCCCTGAGTCTTTCAATGTACTCACGAGTATGGGGATCAATGCACTGCAAGCTCTTGAAGAACTCAGTATCTATCCTTTCTAAGAAGGCCACCAAGTTTCCCCAGACCCTAATTGTCCCATCATAATCTGGTCCTTTCTGGGATTCATTCTCATCAGGTTCCACCATGTCATCCACTGTAATGTTAGGATACTTCACAAGAATATCAAGTATAACTTGCATATTCTGCACGCACTTCTTCCACACATTTATTGGCATGTGCCCATTGAGACCAGGATTCACATCAAACTGAGCAGAAACAACACTAAAAAATATCTCCAGCTTCTGTGCAGGGGTCTTAGCAACCTTTGTCAAGAAGGTAAGCTGCTCAACCTGCTCAAACCTTCCAGTTCCCTTCCTTCCCCGAGCAGCCACAACCTCTTTAAATTTCTTGTTAACTGTATCCCATGTGATCTCGCTTGGGTCCTTCATGAATTGCCTATCCATGAGCTTGTCTTTCTTACTCATCTTCTTCTCCCAGCCTTCATCAGTTTGGTCATCCTTTTCATCTTCTTCTTCATCCCCATCATCATCGCTATTTGACATTACAATATCAGTAGGATCCTCAATTTCAGAAACTGATCCATCGTCTTCTGAATCCTCTTCTGCTTCCTTCTCCTCGTCACTCT